AGAATTTCTGGAAGAAAATATAACAAACAAGAAAGAAAGTGAGAAAGGATTTCAGCTTAAAGACATTCTTCCAATGTCGTTAAGTTTCTACCTCGACTCACAAGATGAAACAATGATTCCGCAAGAACAAAACCCTGAAGAATAAACACAAGTAGAAGATGAAGGAAATGAACTTCCATTAGAGCCAGACGGTTTAGAACAATTACAAGGAAACTTGGAAGAAAGAAGATATCCACTTCGAAACAGGAAACAGAAAGAATTTCCAGATTTTGTTACTTACTTAGCCATGCATAAAGATGAGGAGTCAGAACCAGTCACATATGAAGAGGCACTGTCAAGCTCCGATAAATTTAAATGGGAAGAATCCATTAAGAAGGAATTAAAGGCCTTTCAAATGAACAAAGCATGGACAATAGTGGATAGACCGTCAAATAAGCCAGTAGTGAAATCAAAATGAGTCTTAAGAAAGCACCAGTAGAGTGAACAATGGTTCTTACTTATCATTCGATCTATGAGAAACTGAAAATAACATTTACAACATGCAACACTGTTTCAAGATGTTCTTGGTCTAGTTTCAATTTGTGTCCACTAACTAACATGGACACAGTAGCTACATACTTATCTGGCACTCCAATCACAAAACCGTTCTTCCTGCAGTATCTGTCACCCAGACACTTTGCTATCACTTTCACAACAATTCCTTCCACCAACCAATATTCCTTTCTGTTTATATATTCTTTCTTTTTCTCTTCATCTTCAATAATCTCATCTAGGGCTGATAGTTTCCTCTTTTCACCCCTTCCTTTTCCAGATTCCTTTGGTCATTGTTGTTTCCTGCTGAAATACACTCTCCGCTCTTGTAGTCATTCTTCAATGCATTACTTGCCACCGAAGTTTAATTTTTTATGCTGTCACCCCTTTTTGTTTCCACCTTCAAATTTACACCGACTTTCTGTTCCTCACTTGGCCGCACAAACTCCGTGAAGACATGAGTGTCATTCTTGGGACATTATTTTCCGTTCTCAATTTGTTTTTCAGTAAATTCCATCATTTTCCCTTGATCCTCTCTGACCATCTTCTCCTTCCGAACAAGAGCTTCTTGCAATGAAATGATTTCTGGGTCACGGTCTATATAATATACATACCACCCTTTTTCAGTCTCATCCACCATGCACTTTCCCTCCCTTCCAAACCATTTCACAAAGTTTGTCAATGTGTCCCAATGCGCAGAATTCATATGTTCGGAGTTATAGTCCTGGTATGCACGATTTGCATGAACTCGT